AGAGCCAGATGCCGCAGCGCAGTATGCACCGCATTTGAACCGTCTCATCGCAATACCTGAACTTGCCGGGCCAGGACGGCGTGCAGACGAAATCTCAACGTTCCTAATCGCCTACGCCGAAGTTTTGAATCATCATTCGATTAAACCTGATGAATTCGCCGATTTTCTTTACGGTCTACAAGTCCTATGTACTGTCACGAAGACAACAGCCAAAGACTTGCTGGACATCCCAGCGCATGGATACACTTCTTCAACTACAGTGGACGATTACATTCGAGGCGCGAACGAGGCGTTCTTTGCGCCAAGAGGTCTCGTTGTGTCGTTCCGCAGTGAGACTGCGCTTCTCGAACAATTGCCCATTCCCATGGGGCACAAAAGTACTGTCCTATCTAATTTGGCGGACAAAACTGCAACAGCTGAATGGAGGGCACAGCAATTGTATCCCTGGATTGAAGCGCTCGACGTCGAGAATCTCCCGGCGCCGAGTGAGAGGGTACGAAAGTTGTATGAGTTGAGTGAGCGGTTCGAAGGTTGGAGAGTTCCGGCACAGAGTTCTTCTGGTACTGGTCGTCACATATCGGGACAGAACAGGGACTTGGGACATGAAGACCCGCCTCATTCCGTTCCTGAATCTGGAACTCGCCATCCTCGAGGGCACCGTGGGGGCGATTGTTCGCCCTTTGGTATGCCAGGCCGAGGACCATTCGGAGCTCCAGGCAACGGGCCTTTTGGCAGACGAGGTATGCCTTCTCGCGGTCGTGGTCGTGGAAACGAATGGCGTGGAAACGAGTGGGCAGAAGTGGGGAAAGAGTTGGGCAAGATTGGTGAACAATTCGGCAAACGCATGGGTGATTGGGGTGTAGAGTTTGGAAAACGCGCCAATGCTTTTGGGCTTGATGTGGGCAAAATGGCGAGTGGGAGTGGGAGCGGTAACGGCTCCCAAGTTAGAGGCACAACATTGGGTCAACAGTATCAAGAAGCACAAAACGATGACCTCCCGCCTGCCTACCACGCTCCAGCAGGTCAAGAGTCGGGCGTGCTGTATGGAGATGAGAAGAGCAAGGTCAATACTCCAAGATACCCTGTCTCGACGACCATAGACGACAAGGGTAAAGGAAAAGCCAAGGAAAAGGACCTGTACAGCGACGATGATGACGATACATCATCCATGTCATCAGACAGTTCGATCTCTTCCGACTCCGACTCTGATTCTGATTTCGACGACGACGAAGACTTCTCTGGCGTGGACAAAGACCTAGCACGTGCACGCAAACTCTCCATCCGCGATGCTCGCCACCACCTCAAGGAACGCTCTCGTACCTTGAAGAAACAACACCGTCAGAAGAAACGTGTGTTGAAAGCTAAGCACACTCTGAACAAAGAAGACAACACTGGAAAGGGCAAAGCCAAAGCCAAATCCAAATCCAAGCTAAAGAAAGATCCAGAATGGATAGAAGCCAAGAAGGAATATAAAGCACAGAGGAAGGTGTTGAGAAAAGAGCGCTTGACTGCGAAGAAGGAGTGGCGTGAGGCAAGAGAGGAGGTCAGGAGGGAGAGGAGAAGTGCCAGGAAGGAGGCCAGAGGTAATGGCAAGGGTAGAGAATTTATTCCGGAGGAAGCAAAGCCTGAGATGGTATGGCTTGTGATCGAGAATTTGGCGCCGTGAGTGTTTGCAGGGGATCTTGGATGCCCTCTTATGATAGTGGCACTGAGAGATGCATTGACTAGAATGGTCATGTCGACAAAAGGCATCCTAGCACTAATGACATTGTCGAGTCATGACCTGAGCATAGCATGAGTCATTAACCGAATTGCAAACATGGCACGTCACTGTCCTACTCATACCTTCAAACCACAAGAGTTAACCACACTTATACTGGCTTCACGAATTTGACAGTGCATTCGGAAAGATGTCGCCTAGAACATATATCGTTGGCGATGGCGCCGCGAAATCGCGTTCTGAGCGTTGAACAGCTTTGCGCGCTCACGTCCGCCTCCTTCCCCGCAACCCCGCCATAAGCGTACAGGAAATCGTCTTCCTTCGTTGAAGATTATCCGCAAGTAGCCCTCGATACATGACATGGAGGTCGCACTACTTGGTTTCAGAGCCGTCATTGGGTAAGTCCAGGGTAACGGCCCTGCTACCTAGGTACCTTTTTGACGGCTTGCCTTATCTCGGAAGAGCGCATCTGAACGACCTGGTATATAGCTTCGAGACCTTCCGTCATAAGAATAATTAATACTTTTTTGAGTTGTACGAGTTTTACATGGCGCCGAATCCTAAAAGAGTGAAAATGTCTCCCTCTACTGATCGCAAACGCGCTGTGCGCATCGCAGGATGCTCTGGTGGCTTCACGGACCGTTCTCTTGCTATCACACGTATGGCTGGCGACCCAGAAGTTGATGTAGTAATGGGTAGGATTTCCTGACAAGCGGATATGTATGATTTTAAACTGACTGAACCAGGCGATTGGCTATCCGAAATGACCATGACTGTACACGGTAGTGGAAAAGTAAAGCAAAAGTCTACGAAGACCAACAATGGCACTATGAGTCTGGAGGAGCGTAAGAAGAGCGCCATGTACGCTGACACATTTATTCAATGCTTCGAACCGGCAGTACCAAACCTAGTCAAGAACAAGACGAAGCTTGCTGTGAATGCCGGTGCTTCAGACACTGAACTTCTCGCTGAGGTTGTAGTGGATATACTGGAGAAGCAGGGCGCTAGTCATCTCAAAGTAGCATGGATCGAAGGCGATGATGTGACGGGACAGGTCAATAGTCTGATCAAGAAGGGGGAGAAGTTTGAAAGTCTGATGCATGGCAAGAAGCTCGAGGAGTGGGGGATGGAACCGGTGTGCGCTCAGGCGTATCTGGGCGGACTTTGCATAGCAGAAGCTTTCCGACAAGGCGCCGATATAGTGCTCGCTGGAAGAGTTGCGGATGCTGCGCCAGTCATTGGTGCTGCGGCGTGAGTCGCCTTACTACCGTCACCAGTGACTCAGCTGACACGATCAGGTGGTGGCATGACTGGAAGAACGACCAGTTTGATGAACTTGCTGGAGCGCTCATCGCTGGCCATCTAGTTGAGTGCTCAGCCTACGTCACAGGAGGATACTACTCGATGTTCAAAGATCTCATGAAGACAGGCAAGCACATCAACATGGGCTTCCCTATCGCAGAAGTAGAGTATGACGGCAGCTTCAACATTGCGAAAGAGAAGGATACTGGAGGTAGGCGTTGATTTTCCAGCTCGTGACTTTATGCGGCTGACACGTCCAGGTTGCGTCACTGTCGGCACATGTACTTCGCAGCTGCTGTATGAGATACAAGGACCACTGTACTACAACTGTGATGTCACAGCTGATATCACGGATGTCAAGATGGAGCAAGTAGGCGAGGACGTAGTACGTGTTACGGGGGTGAAAGGCTTTCCCCCACCACCTACGACTAAGGTTGGTATCACTGCCCCAGCCGGCTGGCAATGCGAGTGGCATATGTTTGTGTGTGGTCTCGATATAGAGGAGAAGTGCAAGATCACCGAAGATCAGACTCGATACGGTAGGCGCATTCACATCGTCATCACATCATCAAACTAACGATGATCAGCCATGGGAGACAATGTCAACCGCTTCAAAACGCTCAGATTCCATCAGAACGGTTCATCACCAATCGATGCACACAACCAGGACGTAGCAACGGTCGACTTCCGGATCTTTGCTCAAACCTCTGATCCCGAGTTGGTACGGCCAGACGTCCCCAACGGATTCAATCGCTGGTGTCTTGAAGTCTTCCTCCAATCAGCTCCTGGTCTCTCGCTTTCCAACGACCTGCGACAGATTGCGCCGAAACCATACTACGATTACTGGGTCTCACTTCTCCCTCAAGACCAACTGCCCTTGCGCGTACATGCCATGTACGGCGACAGAACAGTCACCAATCTCAGCCCACCTAAGGTCACGAAAGAATATCCGCGCCAGCAGACCTCGTATGAGACCTCATCACCAGTTGATCTTTCGTCATTCGGCGAAACGGTTCGCGCACCGCTAGGTTACATCGTCGCCGGCCGGTCTGGTGACAAGGCATCAGACTGCAACTGCGGGTTTTTCGTCCGCTACGATGATGAGTGGGATTGGCTGCGTTCTTTTATGACGATCGAGCGTGTCAAAGAGCTTCTTGGGAAGCATGAGTATAGCGGCAAGCCGATTGATCGCTTTGAGATTGCGGGGATTCGATCAGTGCATTTCTTGCTGCATGACCACTTGAGGGATGGAGGTTACAACACGTGTTCTTCGTATGATACGTTGGGAAAGAGTAAGTGACGCATGAATTGTTGACGTGATTGTGGCTGATGAATGTATAGATGCTATGGAGTATATGCGTGCAAAGACTGTGGATTTGCCGAAGAAGTTCTTGGATCGTGGGCGTATCTAACCACATAGCCATAGCAAGTGAAGACTTTCAGTTGCTTGCGAGTAACAAAATCACCTTACCGAGATCTGAGCCTTCTGACTCGAATTACCTAGCTGTGGTGATGGAGTGTACGTGAGTGTTCCTAGCTGCTCCTCATATGACATTTGTTGTTATGTTTTCCCTAACACGAAGTCTTACTGTCAGCTCATTGTTGATCATGTATCCAAGAAGCGCCACTTCATGTTGATGAAGTGAAGGTGAGTGCAGTCCGTGTTTTAGTGCAACAGTCATTGCTCTTTCCTTTCTCGATTACAAGGGTCCAAGCTTAGCTTTTTCACATCACTACGACTTTCTGGACACTGCCGCTCACCTCTCTGTCACCCACTATCCTAGTACCATACGAGACTCACTTACTACACCGCGCTCAAACGTGTCATAACTGCAAGTCACTGCGCCTGCGGTCATCAGGCAAGTATTGTCCCTGTTAAATAAATCATCGTGTTTCTGCATTTGCTAAGTAACTCTAGTCACACAGCTGTCATCGTGCGACTCGCCCAGCAACAGAGTTGCTGTATCTCAGCGCAGTCATGCACTTTCCACTGCCAGAACCAGCGCCCAGTCGGGTCGCACAAGTGTGCTTTCGGTCCGACGACCCGGGTGCAGCTTCATTACTCGGTATCCCGCCCGAACTTCGCAACCAGATCTATGAGTACTTACTCGTAGATCCCCAATCTGTCACCATTGGGGCTGAACTTCACGACGATAATACTATAAGCACGGTTAACGACTTTGCGGGAAGCTCTGGCATTATCCATACCTGCCGTCAGATCTACCATGAGGCACTAGGCATTCTTTATGGCCAGAATGTCTTTCGCTTCCAGTGGAGCGTACACCGCGAAAAAGTTTTACCCTTTCCCATTATCGTCGCTGATCCAGTTAAGACCTATAAAGACTGGGTCTACGATGTTGGGTCCTGCCTCTCAGTATTCCGCACTGTTACCATCGATACGGGTGTACCCAGAGCAGCAGTCACATACGACGACCTTGAGATCGAATTTGAGCTCCACCCAGATGCGTACACGGATGGCACTGCAACTACACCGACTCTGGGGTCACTCGACATTTACTGGGACGAGATTGCAAGCAACATCTCAATTAAATTCGAGAACACAAAGAAAACAAGACGGTCCATTGCATATTCGGGTGCTAAAGAGCTGGAGGGGCTACATTTCAACTTCGAGCGCATTACCAACGTTCTCCTTCAGCTAGGAAAGAATGATTCACTAGGTTTGAAGGGAACACGCCGCTTGCTTCAACAAGTTCATGTGGACCCAGGCGGCATCCAAGGTACCATTCAATATCGGCAGACCAGTCATAGAACCAACGTCTGCCGCAAGTTTCGTTTATCAGAAGGCACTCAGACATACGAGCTTGTCCCTCCGTCAAGTCCATTGAGTCTGCTCGACCTACCTACCGAGCTCATCACTGGTATCGTTGAGCTTGCACTTACTCATCACAAAGTCACTTACAACTTTGACACGGGAATCACGCATGGACATGGATTCGGCTTGCTTAACGTCAATAAACAACTTCGCAAAATGGTCCGCCCATACTTTCTTTCTAAGACTCGCTTCACCCTTTTCCTGGGTTGCGATACTTCGCTGGCTACGAAGGCATCGTATGGAGTACTCGAGCGTCGCATCGCAGAATTTTTCGAGGATGTTTATGGTTGCGTCTCTTACATGAGATACTGTACTCCGATTGAGGCGGCCCTGTGTCACGGGAACAAGCCGACCATCATTCTGCAGTTCACGACTGCCAACCACATCCAGATCAACGCATGGGATCTCCTGTGGACCACTACAATCCTCCCGCCCAGTACTACAATCATAGTTCGCGTACACGATTGTAGTGACAATGTCCATGTCACGACACTAGATGAGATTCGGAGATACGCCCTAGTATTCTTGGAGGATCTCATGGACAAAGCACCCCCACAGTCCTATTGGAGCACAGTCGAGTTTTGGCTCAATGAGCAGTGCCTTCCCGTGAGAGCCACCATCCAGGGAGAGCATCAGGGATCGCAGTATGCTTGTGGGGATGTGGTAGATGTCTCGAATATGATGGATGTTACCGCTTTGCACAACGCAGTCGAGGCAAGAGAGTGGAGACCATACGGGACGTTGGATGGGTTCAGAAGCATCACTCAATCGACAAGCTGGGGTCATGAGACGTTTGATGACCTTGTTAAGTGTCTTCGATCCCTTTGCCTTTGACCGCACGATCATCGGTGAGGAGGCTTTGATGCATTCACCCTGTACTCGGGATGAAGGTTTTGTACGCACGGGAACACCAAGACTTGCTGTACCTTAAGTGATGCAGTACTCCAATCAGCGTGATAGTCAAAACATAATGGATATATCTTACACCGATTAGACCAAAAAGCCCGCGGAGGATCATTTCCATGCACGGCCTCATCTTATTTCCTTTTGCCCTACAATATCCGTGACTAGGCAATAAAGAGTACGCGTCTGCCTGGGCATACCCACACAGTGTATACCTAACATTAATCTAAACGAGGCAGACAAGAAAGCGCCACAAGAAAAAACAAAGGAAAGCCTTCGGTAATCAACCTCATTTCCTATTAGCCCCCAACTACCCACGTCGGAGTACTAAGCAGCGAACTAACTTCTCACCCAGTTTGGACCTAAGCACTAACGGGAGCGAAGATCGACAGCTAGAAGGTCTCATGCGGAAAACGAAAAAGCCCTCGCCAAACGCTTCTGCTCCTTCGTCCATGTCAGATGCATGCATGCAGCATGGCAGCAAAGCGCGGCTAATTTGTACCGGTTTGCTACTCGCGTAGCCATCACGTTCGGGAGCAAGCAGGGGTATGTAGGTATGGGAAGTTACCTATATACAGTAGGCAGGTGTTGCGCTTTACGAGCTTCCTATTTCAAACAGGCTTTGAGATGACGGGCTTTATAGGCGTGGAGACGGGCGTCCCAGGACTGCCGGCGCTACTCCACATAGTCGAAGGACGGACTCACAAAGTTGTTTGGCGTGCGAAAGGGGAGGGGAAAAAAAGTGACTACAACGCACACAACGATCTGAATCTACCGGTGAGCGCCACGCATCGGCAGTTAACTTACTCCAATTTTTTTCCCCTTTACCACGGAAGTTACTCCAAAGTTCTCTGCGGGGCAAGCTAGTTACCCTTGGAGAGATGGCTACGCGTGTCATGGGAGATTGCGACATTGTAGCATCGCGCGATACGATGCGAACACGGCTTGGGAATTCCGGCCGGAGATACGAGGGAATGGCGATCATCTGTATACGTACCGTACTTACCGATGTATACCCATTGCTCCGACAAGACCGACCTCGGGTAGCGCGTAACGCGTATGTCGCCTGGCTGTTCGGTCGTTTCTTCGTTCGTACGAGTCGCGTCACTTCCGTGCATAACTACCGTGATCGCGTCATCTCGTCTTGCCCTGCGCGAATGGACTCCACTTTGACGATCCAGAGGACCCTCTTCACGATAGCGATCTCCAACCTCCAGTCTTGCCCGTATTGTACTAAGCCACTAAATCTTAGCAAGACCCCTCTTACACTCCACCGCACTAACCTCCTTACCAAGCTTTCCAGGCCTCTGACTAGCAGCGACTTGATGCTACTAGATCCGGAGTTCTGTCCCGTTATCCAATCATTAGCATTGGACCCTTTCCGATCATAAGTGGAGGTAAAGTGTATATGTGAGAGTGTCGTTGTGATAACAGCGATGGTTCAGGAAAGTTGAGAAGATTCTTGGTGTAGAATATTTTGCTGGTGTTTGAAAGCACTGTTCCTGCGATCCGCTTCCCATCGAGATGACGGAAGAAGTAGAGAGGAACTCTTATGGCCCCAGCGTTGCTCATCATTTTGGAGGGAGTTGTATGTTGAAGGCCTCGGAGTGAGGTGGAAATGGTGGACTTACGAGAGGACGTCATGACAGCGGTGCCAAGTCGGAACGGCGTGGCCTGGTCGCGGTTTCTCTCCCGTTGAGGAAATTGTTCCAGAACGACGAGTACGGTGTGCTTTTAGACTTCAGGGACAAGCGTAGTGTAGTAGTAGGAACTAGTGCGGGAAACCTTACGGTTCCTGCGAGGCGTCCGGTACGCGAACCGAAGTCAAATTGCATCGAATCAAAGCCCACCGAATCAGATGTACCTTCTTCAGCCAGCCAAGCGACAGCCGGCAACTGATTGGATGCCAAAGGTGCGCCCTTGCTTGTCGCCTCGCTTCCCCGAGTAAGAGCTGATGTCCAGTTTGAGTAATCCATCGTTTGTTTGCTGGGAAAGGAATCCGAACGGTTGGTCGCTTCCACGCCACCAACACGTCGAAGGACCAGACAAACGGTGTTGTCGACTACCCTGCCGCCTACAGATTTGGGCCGGCAGATGGGCGGCTAGTGCGCGAGTCCAAAACATGTCGTGAATCCAGGCGAAAAGTTTGACTCGATCATGACATGGAGATCAGCAACATGGCAAACCTTGACATTTCCACCATCCATGATTTTTGCTAGCACCGGAGCGCGTGGAGTATCGAGCAAGAGTCAGTCGGCGACTTGTTGGTTGGCAGCGGGCGAAGATTATCCGAGAGAGTGGTAAAAAAAATGAGACGGCGTAGTGACAGGCGGAAATAGTGGCGCAGACGGGCTCGCTCTCATGTAAGATGCTGCGGCGGCCGAACCTCGCTATCGGTAACGAGGGCAGCGGGTGGGTGGGAGTGATGCATCATGGGCTCGGCTGGGACCTACAAGGGCGAATAGAGTTTGGTGTGGCTCGCCAGTCACATTGGCGGTGTATAATGGTCGGATTATGGTACGGATTGTGGTAGCAGGTGCATAATGGCGGTCGCGTCGCGCGAAAGGGACAAGGAGATGGACGATGCAGAAAGGTGGATGGGAGAAAGAGGCGGATTGCAAAGGCGTTCTCACCACGTGCGGCGCTCGGTGTCTCGGTTGCGGGGATGAGATGGATGGTTCTCGGAGCAAGCGGTATTGGATTTGGCCATGGGAATTGGACGAATTGGCGGTCAGGAAAGCAGCTTCAGTCTGTGGGGATGGCCTGCCGATGTCGACCGGCGGCCACGAGCTGTCAAGGCGTTGCCGGACATGTCAGAACAGGTGCGGCGATCGCTGGCAAAGGTGTGCGCATTATAGGCTGAGAGATGCACCGAGAAAGGACCGTGGTTATCAAAGTGGTGACATGGCGCCCCATCCGTACCCTATATGTCGTTAGCAAGTCGTGCGAGCGTGCGCGAGCGTGACGCGTTATTTGGTGCCCATGAAAATTGCGATGCGTCGTCGGTAATAGTAGTCGAGGGCGAATGCAACAGTGCAGAATAATACATTAAGAAGTGCGAACGAAGGAACTAACAAGGGCGGAATGAGACGTTCCGCGAACAATGCACCATGTAGCCTGTACAAGCGACGACTCCAGTCCTGCTTGCTGTCTGTCCGTCCGACGTTCCTTCTTTCGTTGGGGGTGCGCGTGCGGAAGGAAGGTACGCGGGATACGGGAGAAGCCTCGGCCGGCCCAAAGCACCGGAACCAGCAAGACACCTCTCTCCTTCTCGCCCCCAGTCCCTCCTCCCCGCATATCTGCACCTCGACAAACTTGCTCCTCTTTTCTGTATGTCGTACGAGTCAGAAGGGGTTTTATTTTTCTGCAATATGTGCAAAGGTGGATTGCGCATCGTGCTTGTGCTGCAGTCTCTACTATATGCAATACTATATCGTGCATGTCCCGCTGGCGGAATGTCATCCATGCTGCTGCCATGCCATTGCCGCAGCTCGCTTGCTATAATTGCTACAGGATGGATCGGTCCGGCACCCTGGGCCAACGAACAAGGCAGCGATGCAACACTGAAACATTACGCGCCCACCCTCCTGCTTGTTAGAAGCGCCGTCTGGGTCTGCACCGTTACAGATCTTCGTCATGTGATCCTGGACAAGAGCCCACTGTGCCGGAACAGCGACGCGTGGCATGAGCGTATATAGCACAGCCGCCAATGTTACCATCACCATGCACGTTACAGCCAGTTTTTGTTGATAGATTGCATTGCCACCTGTGCAACGTCATGTTCCGTCATGTCGTTTCCAAGAGGGTAGATAGTTCCGAGAGTTTGTTACCGACGAGTCGCGATAAAGTTTACGAGCAAGTGGGGGTATATTCCAGCTATTATATACTGCTCGTGCTATCTCCAAAAGGGGACTCCAAGGGTCCTGATCACTGCTCCGCTAAAAACAACAAGACGCTCGTGAGAAAAGAGCCAAAAGGCCGCATGCAATCCACCATCACCCGCATTGTGTGCTCTGCACTGATGCCGAATGTGCTCTGCACTGATGCCGAATGTGCTCTGCACTGATGCCGAACGTGACTGCATTGATGCCGAATGCGACATGCACAACCATGCTGACGCGCTCAGACCACCGTGCTTTGGTGACAAGACAGATGGTGAAGAAATCGTTTTGTCGCAAGGAAACCGAGGTATCAAGGTATCAAGGTATCATATTCTTAACATGCCGTAACGCCAGGCTGTGGTAGTCGCCGAAGAAGACCGGATTTTCCCTACCGCAAGATGCGCCATTAGGTGAATAGCAAAACGACGCGGAGACGACGCGAAAGCGCGGAGACGCGAAGACGCGGAGAAACGCGAAACATGTGGCGTGACAGGCAGACTCCCTTGTTCTGCTCAGTGCTGACCCAGTGAGGCTAAAAATGGTGTCGCGGAATGCACAACATGCTGGAAGCATATATCGAGTCCAGGTGTAACGAACGAGGCCGTCGCGTTGGTTGCTCGATGAAGCGCGATAAAGCGTCGGAAGATGGCCAGTCCAGACTAGGTGGGTGTCTGGCGGGAGGGGGATGTTTAACAGTGTTCTACAAGGGTGGTGCGAGATACTACTGCTGGGGACGGCGGGCAGTCCAGATGTGGCTGTCAAGGGTTAGTGCTGGGCCCTTGTTGGCACAAGGATATATTGGAAACCTACATGTTGTTGTACGCATGGATTTTGCGGTTGCAGATTTCCCTGCGAACGCTCTCGAGCACTGGCCTGACATGTGCGTTGAGGTCCCACTGGTAGACCCTGGTGAGGGGTGCAATGGTTAGCGCCTCGAGGCCCTCGGTCAGGCCCAGGTTGTACCACCTCCCAATGTCCTTTTGGTGCGGGTCATTGGGCCATGTGTTGTAGGGGACGCGGATGACCGTCTCTTGGATGTCGATGAAGCCG